TAATATTACACAATGGACCTGCTTTCTGTGAGGTTCTTTTGGCTTCAGAAACATAGAAAAGCAAGCAAAGAACATGCAGGTATCTCAAGAGACAGTCTCTGAGTATGTTAAGATAGATCAGGGATTCCCCAAGGACTGGAAACAAGTGTGCCTGCTGGTGATGCACAGGGCCTGTTAAGGATGCCTTAGTCACAGAGCATCTATCCATAACTGCGCTTCTCAGACTTGCAGAAATGGAAACTGCTGAGGCAGCTGCCACCCCAGGAATGGTGACACCAAAGGAAAATTGATTTGGAAGCCCTGCATTATACAAAACAAAATATATTTGTTCTCCCAACATTTCCTTCTCTGTACTCCTTTACAGTACTTTACATCTGTGGATAAATGGAACTGGCAGGTCTATTCCTGACTATAGGCACAGACTCAGTGTGTTTAAACTTCAATTACTAATATAGTGGACAAAAAAAAAAGGTTGTTAAAGTCTGACTTTCAAAGGTAAACACGAGAAATAAGAACAATCATCTGATTAATAGTCTATTTTGGGTTTTTTTCATTGTATTCTAGGTCTTTTGTCTCCCATTTTGTACATTTTGCCTCTATTCACCAAACTTGTTGGCATTGCAATAAAGCAAACCAGTTCACTTCCAAAACATAGATGCAAGGCAGGAAACTGACACTTTAAGTTTAAACAATGGAAATGGGCAACCTATTCAAGATACTCATCCATCAGTCTAGAATCAACATCCTCTTTCCACGGGGAAAGCAATGGTCTCTGCAAATGGGGAAAGTCAAATGGCCCAGGTACTTCACTGGGACATTTTTCTCTCAGGCAGTTGTAATAGGCCATTGTCAGCTAGAATAAGCCAGATTTGTTGTGGAATTGTTCTCTTTGTACTACAAGCACGAAGTGCAAATAAAAGAGCGTGCAGTTGGTACTGGGAAAGGTGGAACTGGCAGGATGCTTCAGACAGTACTGAAGCAGTAATGAAAGCAGGCCATGGAGTAAACGAAGAGTTTATTTCTACAGTCATGGAAACCTAGTGGTTGGAGCATCATCAGACCCACAGCAAGGCAGATATTGCACTTATAGCTCACGTACAGCTGCCCTCAGAAAGGCAATTGATACTGGGGTTTTTTTTTAACTGTTCCCAAGGTATGTTGTTGGTAACCTACAAATACCCCATCAACTGCTTTAAGGAATTTTGGTGTTCTCCATAGCTGACCCTGCACAAATTCATGAGCCAGGAAACTCACATGCATCTGTTCTAGCCTCTTTGGAGCCACCTGTGAAGGCTGCAAGTGCAAGAAAGGTCAGAAACATAAGGAAAAGCTTTATTAATGTTTTGACAGGGAGAACAGATAAAAAATGAGGGAGAGGTTATTGTAGAACTTCAAACAGATGTTGAATAGCTGATAAAATCATGTCGTGAATATTGAGATCTGAGACATGGACCTGCTGTGTTATGTGCCATGTGTTTTAAACCAAAGCATGATGCAGAAAACAGAACAGATGTGACCGCTACAGAGCTAAGATTTCCAGAATTTATGAGTAACCCTGGAAACATCATCAAAGAAAGGTCATTTATCAGATATATGATGCCAGCTTTTAGGGGAAGTTTTTGAGAGAAAACATTCTAGGCCTAAAGAAAGACCTCCACATCATGGTCCATGGCTTGTAGTTTGAAAATGAATGAGACAGGCAGTCTGAAATAACCCCAAATTGCAACTTATATGCTACAAGTCACTACTGGTGTACCCCAGAGGTCAATACTGGGTTCAATACTGTTCAACATCTTCATCAATGACCCAGATTATGGGGCAGAATGCTCCCTCAGTAAATTCACAGAAAATACAAAACTGAGAGGAGCGGCTGATACATGAGATGGTTATACTGACATTCAGAGGTACCTGGATAAGCTGGAGAATTCATCTGAGAGAAATTTCATGAAGATCAACAAGGATAAATGCAAAGCTCTACATCTAGGGAGGAATAATGCAAGGCATCACTACATGCTGGAGGTTAACTGTCTGGAGAACAGCTCTCCAGAGAAGGACCTGAGGGTCCTGATGGTCAACAAGCTGGTTATAAGAAAAAAAACATCTCATAGCAAAGGTGGCCAATAAATTCCTGGGCAGCATTACGAAGAGCTAGGAGGTGATCTTTTCCCTAAACACAACACCAGTGAAGCCACATTGGGAGTACTGTGGCTAGTTCTGGGTTCTCCACTACAAGAAAGAGATGGCTTACTGAAGTAAGTCCAGTGAAGGGCCACAAAGATGATGAAGGGACTGGAGCATCTCTGACATGATGGGAGGCTGAGAGAGCTGAGACTGTTCAGTCTGGAAAAGAGAAGGCTCAGGGTGATCTTATTCATGTGTATAAATACCTGACGAGTGGGAATGAAGAAGACAGAGCCAGACTCTTCTCATTGGTGCCCAGACACAAGACAAGAGACAACAGGCAAAAATTAAAAAAAACCATGAAATTTCATCTGAACAGGAAAACACTGGTTTACTGTGAAGTTGGTCAAACATGTTGCCCTGAGAGGTTGTGGAGTCTCCATGCTTGAAGATATTCAAAACCTGACTGGACATGGTCCTGGGCAACCTCCTCTAACTGATCCTGCTTGACCAGACGGGGTTGGACTAGACGGTCTCAGGAGATCCCTTCCAACCTCAACCATTCTGTATGACTATGTGTGAAAGAGGAAAAATCACCAGTGTGCTTTATGATTCTACACACGTCTACTTCTTCAATCCAAATGTGCATTTCTGATGCTTGGAAGGTTACCATATTTCTTTTACAAGAGGCAAAATATCTCATCAATATCCTGAAGAAGGATGCAGGTGAACAATGAAAACCTTCATGCATGAACATGCCTGGTCCATTTGCTTGCCACATATTTCAGCATTACTTGCATACAGGCAGCTAATGCTTTTGTCTAGAGCAGCAAAGCTCTACATATTCTATTGAAGTATCAGTCTTGTTTCCTTTTTCTTGCCTAAAAACCTAACATAGAAATGTAGAAAAAATAAACCCTTCTTTTCTATGTATATTGGAGGTCAGAATCAGAGCATCTTATTCTCATCTTTGGATATGGATTTAACTCCTATAATCTGCAATCTTTAAAATCTAAGCTTATGTTAGTAGTTACAAATGCAGTTTACTCATACTGGAATGTTAAACATTAAATAGCAGCATAATATTTTTAACAGTGTGATTCTTGCTTCCTCTTGCAAGTGCTGGGCAAGGATACATTTAATAAATAATTAATTTCATGGTTATCCTAATGATATAATTTGTTTCTGAAGACACGGGCCCAATTTCACTCACAGATAAAATCTTGTTCAAAAAAAAGAAATACAAAAAGAAATACATTAATCTTATGTTGGCAGCTTTTCCTGGATCTCCTGTCACAGACTCAAGTTCAATATGATAAAAGTAGAGTTCAGTTTTCCTTTGTTTTCTGTCTCATTTCCTCCTCTCTATAAAAATGCTGCCGTCCTGTCTATTAACTAAAACACCAAGCGCCTTTTATTCCTCTCTCTCTCTGTTCTTCTCTCCTTTACGCACTAACAACTGTTTCAATTCCCTTCATTCCTTTGGACACAGCCCTTGACTATTTTCTGCCACCATTTCTCACTCCACCTCTTGCAGCTTTCCTTTCCTGATGTCACCATCTTGCTGCTCTTGAAATTCTCCATTTCAATTCTAACCCTGGGTTCCTGTCACCCTGCACTACAGACATGCCCCAAAGGCCTTGGCAGCTTCCCTTAGGCTCTTCCTATCATAAGCCCACTTCAGGGGGCGCTACTGAAATTAGTGATATTTTCGGCCATAAACTTTAGAGCAGCTTGGGAGTTTGTATTCAATATCCTATTCTTGAAAGCACTATCATAACATGATCGAAAATCCCCTTTCATTTTCTGATCACAACATGCTCTCCTTTGCTGCAGTCAAATGTCTGATGTATTTCCATGACCATCCAACCAAACAACAAACACCTGGACATGAATACATTCCCAAAATAGAGGCTTTGCAGAGGTGAAAAGGGACAGTATAGTGATAAGTGTGTCCTGCTTCACTGGAGGAAGCTAAAAGAAAATAGCCACAACCCTTGCTCCCTCAGTAAAAGGTTAAGGAATAAAGACAAGTTTGGGGTTTTTGTTTGTTTGGTTGTTTTTTTTGTTTGTTTTGCAGAAAGGCTATTTGACATTCAGTTCTTTTTCTTCGCTTTGGGGTCACTCCTGCAAATCTTTCCAAATCTTTCCTACTCGGTGACCTGTTAGCAAATTCTAGCATGCCATGGCAGGGTTCCAGTCAATGGCTTGCTTGCTTCTTCCAAAAGAGGGAAGGTTTGCTCTTCTTTCCATAACCCCTTCCAGGCCATACAGTCTTCCTCCCCATTCTCTTGCACTTTCCGCAAAACTACTTTGTAACCAAGCATATTAAACAGATATTTTTTTTTTCCTAATTTACAGTTTTCTGTCAGGTCACTGAATTGAATGAACTTACAGAAGAATTTAGCAAAAGCCAGAGCTCATGTAAGGTGCTTCATGGGAGTTTGTTGAGACCAGGGAATTGTAGGTGAGGAATCTCCTCTTTTTGACAGTAAGCTATGAGATTAGCTCTCCCTTCCTTGTGAAATGGCAGCACGAGACTACTTACAATAGTTAACTCTGTACCTGAAAATATGCAGTTGCAGCTTTGGGCTTGCAATTTGCAACTGTTTAACCACTCCTGAAAACAGGGAGAAAGAGATACAAGAATCTATAAACATGTAAGTTATTATCTCACAGCTCTTTAAAACATAATTACCAGATAATGGTGCTAATCCTTCCAAATCCATTCTCATTATACATAGAAAAGCTTAATCTAAATGTATGCAATCTATGCTTTTCATTGTAGAGTTCCACCAAACTCTAAGTTTAGCTCTTTTAGAAGAAAAGCTAAATCACAGTGATAACCTCATCAGCTACCCATATATTTACAGTCATACCTGTGATCATACTTGATATGATTAATGGCAGAATTATGAGTTTCAGCATTCTCATCAGCACTTCCCCGGGAAAGGAAAAGTAGACTTTATCCAGGTTAGACAGTTTGCCATATTCCCGTACCAGCATGCCGACTCCAATACCTAAAAGGCACATAAAAAACATGACACAAATTAGCGGTAATTTATAGTAGAGACATGGGGAAAAAGGAGGAAAAATAGGAGACAAACAGTCAAACAAAAAGAGTGAGCAACAGACACATTTTTATAGCCATGGTGGAACTTCTAAAGCAAATACAGATAATAGCATGCATAATAACATATATAATTCTGAACTTGGAGGATGTCTTGAGGTATGTCTTTGGAGAAATCCTGATTATGTCCTCTCATTATCAGTCCAGTCCAGCAGTGGCTTTTTACCTGCTTTCACTAGCTCTGGAAGATCCATAACTGGCATTAAAAAAAATATCAATATAATATATAAGCACTACCAAACATTAAAGAAAAAAAAGTTATATGATATAAATATTTTCGGTAATTTATATTGGCAAAAATATGTCTATACTATTAGAAAAAAGTGTGACTACAATCACTAAATTAATTTAATAATTTCTAGGCAATTGATCAACAAAAACACACTCGGCATATTTCACACCCATTCTACTACATGACCAATCTACAAAATTCCAGACTATAAATTTAATCAGTGATTGAGTCACGGCACACGGCACCTTTGTACATCCTCTAATCTTTGGATTAAATAAATTATCAGATAGTTCTAGCTTCTGAGACAAATCACAGATAAGAGTTCCACCAAAAGAAAATAAATCATAGGCCAAAAGACAAATTTCTTCAGTTTGACACGCAATACTTTTATTTTCCATTTCAACACAATTTTCAAATGAAAATCACTGGTATAGGTGTTCATCAGTGTTTAGAAAGCATTATGACTGCTGTTTCACATACGAATTTTGTAATGCTTTAGTCCTGGCTAAACTGAGTATCAAGAGATCCAATTACTAACTGGATTCAGTGAGAGACATGGCAACTCAGAAACCCTCTACCCACTGTGTGCTGAAAGGTCTTATTCATACGAATAGCCTCACTGAAGTTAATGGAATTATTTACATCCTATGGTACTTTAATGACATCAGTGGTGTGCATTTTGCAGCAGAATTGTTACAACAGCACAAGAAGGTGCTACCAGTCTGCTTTTACCAGCCTCAGTGGCTCATGTAAACTTGCAGTGTCCCAGGAAAGCTGCTAGTGCCCAAGCCAAATGCACCTCTTCCCCCAGTTTTATTTCTGATGGCATACAGGATGTTTGATGTTGCTCAAGTCTGAAGTCTGATGTTGTTCAAGAAGCTGGTGCAAAGTTTGACTAAACAGGCTTATAGGATATGTTCCTTATTTTAAGTGATCAAAGTTGTGGAGGCAGACAACACCAGCAGGTTCAAAACCAGATTTAGGTAAATCCACAGACAACTGGTCCATACTGTTGATACTGAAGGAAATAGACAGGGATCTCATATCTAGTTCTGTACTAAACAAGACGCTCATTAACATTCTCTTCTAGTAAGTAAGAATTTTTTCAAAAATCCTCCCTAAAGATTCAATATGCCTGTAGTTTGTGCTAGTTCACATGCTATCTGGATGTTAGTTAATGCAGAAATGTAAACTACTAGTTACTTTCAGAATTTGCCTCTGAGAGCACAAAAAGATAATGAACCAACTTTTCTGTGCTCTATCTGCACCTGCAAAAATAAGCTGAAAGAAAATGGAGGCAGATTATAAACTCCTACCATGTCTTTCCTGTTAATAAAGACATGGAAAAGGAACAAGTGAACCTTTCAGGCAGATTGGCTGCTCTAAGCAACTACTAAGATTTCTGACTGAGGTGTCATCTGTGCCAGTGAACATGGACAGTTTAAATTCCTTGCAACAATCTTGAATCTTAATAGCCTTGAAGATATTTGCAATATTATGTAAATGCCCTTGATCAGTGAATGATAAGACACAATGACCTCTACTTCTAATCTAGTGACTGAACTAAATGTGTTGAAAATAATTAGTCTGCACTTTAAGATAAGCCCAAGCAAGATAAAACTCTGTAAAATGGTTACACATACTGAAGTTGCTAAGGCTTTGATCCCGAAAACACCAGTGTAAATAGCTGAATCTAAGTATACAGGTAATCTTCATGTCTTCAGACTATTCACACGACTTAGGGTAGACATATACTTAAACTGGAGCCAGACTAGAGCATATGTTTATTAAAAGTTGTGTATTGCCTCTTTACTTTGAGCAGGTGTGACTAGGACATGTTCTAACCATGTGCCTTCCATTCTGAGTGGTGACTGTCATGTTTGACTAGCTGGGAGGTTTGTAAATTTAGTAGGATTACTAGCAGGTAGAAAGATTCACCCTCATTTTCATTCTTCAGGGTTCTCTTTTCCACTTCTTTAGATTTCACTACAAAAACTTCCCACAGGATCTGAAAATTTTAGCACAGTTTCCTTAAGCTTTTTCACTTACATATTTATATTTGTTTAATTTTATTTTTTTGGTGAGGTTATTATTTATCTAGTGGCAGTAACTGAGAATAGACTTCTTCATTCCAACAGCCTCTTGAAATTGTATTATTGCTCTCAATTCCTTGTTCATGCTATTGCTTTACCAGACAGAGCACTTATATCCATATTAACTTGTGTAGTATGCCAAAATATAATAAAATGCAGCTACCTTTTAATTGGAGCTAGCATCTAGCATATGCTTCTTGAATTTAGCCTGGGAATATACGAAGAAATTTTATTTTGTAACAGTGACAAGAGAAGGTCAGAAAGTCAGCAGAATAAATTTGCTTATGTACTGGAAATGGATGTATACAGAATTTTTTGATCCTCCTCTCAATAACCAAGTTTAACTGGAATTTTCTTCTGGGAATCATAATGCACAGAAAGACCATACTTCACATGGTAGCCAGTGCTTGTAACATGATATTGATTACAGCAGGCCTAAGCAAGTATAGATGAAAGTCTTACAAAAAGTTCATTTCTCTATGTGAACGCTACTGATAGTCCACCATTTCTGAAAATAGTTTTTACATACGCAATTACTGCTAACAACCACAAAACACCCTATAGCAGGCAAAGTCCTATATATTAGGACTTTTCCCTTCTTTTAATTTCTCTCTTTTTCATTTATGGAATAATTTACTTCTGCCTTTTTTTTTTTTTTTTAAGAGCAAAACATTACTTTTCCTGCTTGCCCTCCTCCTCTTTCCTCGGTTTCAACAACTCCACCTTTCTTCTTGGCCATGCTAAATTGTTTTCCTTTCTTTTCCATCCCTTCTCCTCACTTTTCCTTCTTGCCCACATGGCTAAGTTAGATTACAATTTTTACCACAAAAGCAATCCTCTACTTACATATATCTCAAAGGCATGTATCACTTGAGCTCCAGATTTCTGCAATACTGGGCAGAAGTATGGTAAGAATGAAGGTGGAAAAAACAGTACAATTAATTTAATTTTCTAAGGCAAATATCTCCTTGCACTGTGCATAGTACAAAACATGCTGTATAGCATGGTGTCTACATTTTCCCTTCCAGCAGCCACTGACACAGAAAGTGAAAGGTGTGGTCTGGCTCCCTGGGATTGCAACGCATGAAGAGGCCACAGGACAATTCTCTTGTCTGAACCCATACAAAACAACACATGCCTTGACTCCTTGGCACTACTCTCCCAGGTAGCACATAGTCTTTTAACGAGCTTGGTAACAGACAGAAAATCCTTCAAAGAAAGGCTGTAAATGCAGACTAAGAGAAGTGAGGGGTGAGGGTGAAAAGAACAAGAGAAAAAAACCCAGAGTGGAAGAAAATCGCTGAAAATGTGCATACCAAGAGAAATCTGCAGGCACCCATCTTTCAGGTAGTCCCAGGAGTCCCAGCATAAAAAGCTAGACTGAAAAAATGAGTCCTCTGTATGTGATGACCCTTTTTATTGTGTTACCCAGGGAAAGGGGAGCAGGAAGTACTGCAAGGGGGTAGCACCTGCAACTGGCTGCACTACGTGCAGCACTTGATCCACCACATCTGCAAGCCCGGGACTTTCCAGGACCTAGCTGATGATGGCTGTGTCTAATACGGTGGCAGAACCAGTCTGGCCTGTGTACGTGTGTGCAGTGAGTGAACCACAGAAATTAGGTAAAATGTGTCTTGGGAGACCATTATGTTGTAGGTTCTGCATATCTGCAAAGTTAACACTGTGACATTTTGGTATCTGGTGAACACTCATTTATCACAATCTGCCCTACGTCTTTTTGCATATTGCTGTTGTATCTGAAACGTTGTCTAAGAAAAGAGGTAAATTATTTGCATGGGAACAGCTATAGTACTACACTTTTCTTCAAGGACTGGCTTGCAGTTCATGACACAGATTTGGAAATGAGTAAGAAAGAAATACATATCCTGTTCGACTTCCATAATCTTTGGGCTCATCATACTAGCACACATGGGGAGTGTCACAGATTATCCTACAGCTATTATAAAGTGGTAAAAATGTGCTGCTCTCTCAGCAGTCAGCTGAGCAACCAAATGTGGAGACTATTTACAATTTTTCAGGGGGCGATGGCTAAATACTGAAGCCTTTTTTGTATAATTATGTGAGGTCAACACAATTCAGATCTTGCATTTGACAACTCAGAACCCCTGAATAGCTGAATCTGTTCAGGACATGCAGTACGATGTGACTGAAGTTACTTGCTTTATGTCATTACCGTTGTGGATCAGATGCTCTTCAGAACCTAATTACATCTTTGATGACAAGATGGCATGACACTGTGCACCTTTACTTTCTTTATCTTCTTTCACATGTAAAACAAGTCACCATTTAGAAACAAATAACTGAAGTTCACACATAGACATACCTGGTCCTCTAAACCAGATAAAATTGGTATCTAACAGGTAGGATTCTCTAACACATTATTTGCACTCATGGATGACAAACTGATATGGGATGCAGATTGTTAATTGGCAGGGAGTTCTCACACCATCAGTGTGCAGGACATCAAAGAAACAACACACTGCCTTCAACTCCCACAGACTTCATTATGGGAATGATCCTTAGGAATGAATCGTAAAGACAATGAGAAAAGAAATCTAGGTTATAT